TTGCCACCATTGAGGCGGGCTGGGTAATGTCTGGAATTGCGGGAAGATACTCTGGAAGCCTACAAACTTACCACTGCTGGATTTCCTCCTGGTCAGGCCCGTGTTTTATCATCTGCTCCTGCAGGGAACACACTGGCCACAGCTCCTGCCTAGGGAGACCGTGGGAGTGGAAAGCATAGATCCCGTCATCATTAAACTCATAAATCCATGCCATTTGTGTGTCCGACTCTTCATCCTCATTCATCATCCCTTACACTTTCAGAACAGTCACCCGTTTGAGGATTTTGAAGAACGGTTTGCTGCGGCCACCCCGGTAAGAATGAGAGGGCCCTCTCTGGTTAACTGTTTTAGGTCATTATCCCATTGTTCATTTCATGCTCATAAGTCATGCCTTGTGGTTACAGAACAGAAACCTGCCTGTGGACTTTGATGAGATTTTGGAGGCAACAAAGGTAGGCCTCCAGGCTCTTGGTAAATGAGGGTCATTCTGGTCATTCTCATTCATGCATTCCATGTTCTCCTCATCCAGCCTGCGTGAATGGCAGGTGGGGGTTCTGCTCTAGTGGGTGCCTAGTCTAACATTCATGGGCAGATTATCGGTGAGCCCTGTGGTGAGGTCAGAGTATGTGTGTATGAGTGTCTGTGTGTGTGTGTGAATGACCTGGTGTCATTCAACAAATATTTTTCAAGCTCCCAGCATGTCCTGGGCATTCTGATAGATGCTAGAGATTCAGTAGAGCGGGAGGACACAGACGCTGTCCTCAAGGACCTCACGATGTCCCAGTGAACCAGTGCACAGCGTGGGTAAGATGAGGTAGGTTAGTCTGGTGTAGTGTAACATAACAGTACACTGGGGGTTCGGGCACATAAGCAGGATGCGCTGAGTGCACGTAAGTTAAGAAAAACCAGGCAAGCAACGATGCAGTCAGTATACCCTGGACTAGGTATACTGGTTTGCAGCCAGTGCTTATTCAGATTGGTCGATACACAGGCCAGTGAATAGTATCACCTCTGACGAGAGGGTGTGTGGAACGTCTCTAGGACAGGGGTCCTCCACCTTGGCTGCAAATTAGAATCACCAGGAGAGCTTTTAAAGTCGCAGTTACTAGGCTGTACTTCAAACTGGCTCATTCAGAATCTCTAGGAGAGTGGAAAGCAGGCATCAGTCTTTCCCCTCAGGTGCATCCAAGGTTGAGAACGGCCGATCCAAGTATCATATAAGCTGTTCTGGACAGTGGGGTGGGATGCAAATTGAGTTAGGAAACACTTCCCAGAAAGAAAAAAAAGTCTTCTAATTTCTGTCCTGAAGGATGGGTGGGAGAGGCAATTGGGGAAGGAATAAATACTCTAAGTAGGAGGAGGAACATTTGCAAAGGCCCTGAGGTGGCCCCTCCTGTTGTAACCTGTGTCTCTCTTCTCCATTACACTGCTCTGATTGTGTTGATGGGTCTGATTTTCGATCGAACAGCCAGCCCGTGAGAGTAGGAACGGGAACAGGCTCATATCCCCTGCTCTCGGTACGGCAGCTGATGCACAGTAGGGGCTCCATACTTCTTCTACACGAAAGACTGCCTGATGCCAAAACATAAGGATGGGGCTGTGAGAATGTGTTTGGGGGTCAGCCAAGGACATCTCAGCCTTTATCAGTGGCACTTTCAGAATTTCTCCGCAGGAGGGCGCCTCGGAGTCCGCCTGCAGCCGTCTAGTAGAAGGAAAGACCAGGGAACTAATCTTGAAACCTCAGTGGCACAGCGCTCTAAGTATTATTCAAAAACCATCACTTGTTCACATCAAAGAATGCTGTGAAGGGGCTGGCCCGAGGGAGAGATCAAGGACCTTCCTCCTCAACAGCGAAGCTATCCTTCTCCCCTTCCCTGGACAGGGCAGCTTCCAGTGTCCTTCTGCGCACCCTGGGAAATGCCCAGGGCCTAAAGAAGGCAGAATCTGCCATCGGCAGCCTCATCGCTACCAGCAGATGTCTGAAGTGCTGGTAATGGAAAGGCCAGTAGGCATCTGGAACTGACCTTCCAGTTGAGTTCTTCAGATGGATGTCCATCATGGCAGACCCTTTAGGAACCCTAGCTTCTGGTTAGAGAATGTTGTGGCTACACTCCCCTCATCTAGGAAGGCTAACTAGGGCTTGTGAAGGGATAGATAAACGAGGTGTTGCTTGGCCTGTGGGTCAAGCCCAGCTTCGTTTAGCTCACCGACCACAGGTAAGTGGTGTTATCTCTTGGTCTCCACTCACGGGCAAAGGACAGCTGGAGAGACAGCTATGCCACCAGTGAGCTTAATGAGCCTCAGACCTGATGATAATGTATTGGAAAATGTATTGTAAACTATAAAATGTTTTACAAATGTGGGTGGTTACTTTTATTTCTCTTGAGCCACTAAAATGATGAATTACAACAGTATTATCAGATGGAACATGGTTTTTAGGTTACAAATAAAAGGACTAGGGCTAACATGGGGGGAGAGGAGTGTGAAAATAGATATTATTCCAGATTCTCAATCACATATGGTTATTAGAATTATTTTTAATTTTTGGCCTAAGAATCCCCCTTCTCTATAAAATTTAATTAACTCGAGTTTCTGTTTAAACAGCAAATCCAATGGAATGAAATAACAATCTATGTTTTATGCCTCTGCATGTTTTTCTCGTTTAATCCTTGAGTGAAAATCATCTGGCAAGAGGAAAGGCTGTATCTCAAGAATGAAGGTTATTTTAAAAGTTGTGCTTAAGGAGAAAATTAGCCAATAAATTATATTTATTATGTTAGTAAAAGTGTGCCATGAGTTCAACACATTTGAAATGTAAATTGTGTGACTTAATTATTAACTTCATTTTATTATTTTCCTACCACTGAAAATAGTTGTAGGCCATTTTAAAAGCATTGAGTCCCAATTGCAAGGAAGCCTAGAAGCTTCATGTTAATTGATTAAATAGAAGTATTCCTTATATGAATCTGGAAGAGAGAGCATAAGGATTACCATAGTTTTACCAAATAACATAAAATATTGTAAACATGGTAAAGACCTTTCCCCAAGACAAGCAGGTATCTAGAGTCCAGCCAAGTCTGGTCCCACTGTGACCTTACTTACCCCTGTCCACTTTGCTGGCCTCCTCCCTGCACCCCTCCACCCTCATGCTCATTACAAATTGCTTTTCTTCCCACCTGCTCAGACTCCTCCAGGCCTCTCTCCTTTTTGCTCATGTCCTTGCTTGCACCAGCCTGGATTATCCTTCCTCTTCTTGTTTGCCCGGCTAACTGCTCCTCATCTTCAGAATTCAGATCAGGTCTGTTCCCTTTAGAAAGCCCTCCTTAAGCTTCTTTGCCAAAAGCTGGCCGACTCCCTTTCTCTGTTCTCCCACAGAGACGCTTGTCGCCGTCCCTGCCACATTGCCTTGAAATTACCTACTTCTACAGATCATCCCACCAGACTGCAAACTCCCTGCAGGCTGGGACTTGGCATTTCTCATTATTCTGTTCACCGCACTCAGCACCTCACAGGTGTTAAGTGTGTATGGAAAAAGCATCGTGTAGCTGAGAAGGAAATTAATATGTGTGTGGGGCCTTCCTGTGTGCCCAACACCATTATTCAGTCTGAAAGCTTAAGGGGAAGAATGAAAGTTCATTAACCAAGCTAAACTTCTTTCAGCAAAAAGAGCCTTTTGTGCCTTTTTAACCAGGCTTAGACAAAGTTCAAAGAAAGTCCTGTTATTAATATTGTCAATAAATCTGCAAAGGAGGTATTATCATCTCTACTGTCCAGGTGAGGGGACTATAGCTCCAAGGAGTTGCAGAGATTGGAAGTGAATCTGTCAACAGGTGTGGGACCTTTTCCAGCACCCAGAGCTCGCTCACTCATCAGAAGGAGAGCACAAACCTTTTTTGGCACTAAGTGTAGAGCTCTAGCCATGCCTGGTTAGTGTTAGAATTCAGGTGCAGGGGTCCCTGGAGGGCAGGCAGGCAGACTCTTCTGGTCCTTTCTATTGATTGATGTTTTTAGGTTCCCCCCAATCACAAGCTGTCACTTAAAATCCAGAGATGAGCCGAAAGAGTTTTTTCCTCAGTGGGCAGGTTTCGCACGAAGCATACGATTATATACTTTAAGGCAGGCCATTTGGTTCCTAGCCATAGACTCCCTACGGTCTCTGAAGCTGGAAGTGTATGCAGATTAATTTCTAAGTATAACTTAAAGGGTTTCTTCTGCCGCTCTGGCTGGCCTTGCTCAGACACTCCTGTATGATGGATGGGGATATAGACGATACAGTGACTGCAGTGATGGAGTTCCTAGCAGTGATTAATAGTGTATATCCTGGGCTGTTTTTGATGCCCTTCCTCGTATAAAATGATATGTTTTCTTTTCTTCCAACTACATTTTTTATCCTAAAGACTGACTCTTTCAGAGGCTATCATTTAACTGCATGCTCTGTATGCAGGACATTTAAGTCCTGGCCTGGGTGACCTTGAGGTCACCTCTGTGAGATTCAGTTGATTCATCTGTAAAAATGGGGATGATGATTCCTACCTCTCAGGTTCGTGGTCTTGGGAGCATTTGCCAAGAAGTGGCCATAAAGTCATGTCTCACTGTATCTGACACATGGAAGGCACTTTGAACGCGTGTGTGCACTCAGAAAAGAAAAGTAGTGAGGGGGGTCGCCTTCTTGCCTTTTTTTCCTGGAGAAGACAGACTGTGCTGCGCTTGATGGCGAGTCAGTGCTAAGTGGGATGACGGGTTATGGGAGGTGGCTAAGCCTGAATCTCCTTAACTAAGCCCAGATATGCTACCAGACACACAGAAGCAAGAATTGATTCTGGCTGCCTCCCAGGTGTTGTCTTTAGGCTCATGACGTATGGTAATGACCAGCTGGGCTTATTGTGTATATAGTCACGATGACAAAGAAACAAGGGTCCTCATGTCACACCATTTTAAAGCAGCGCCCAGCAGCATTGGCTTCCCTTTGTGGTGACATCATTCTCTTTTTGTCTTTTCAGGCTGTGACCCAATTAGAACTTTTTGGGGACATGTCCACCCCTCCTGATATAACCTCTCCCCCCGTAAGTATGCACTGCAGCTCAGCCCTACGTCCCTCCCTTTTCCTTTTTCGGCGGCATGGTGGCGAGACGATGGGCTTTGGGCCAAAGAGGGCTGCTGGTGGGTCTCACCTCTGCCTCTTGCAAGCTGTGTGATTTGGGCAAATTACTAGCGATTCTAAACCTCAGTTTCCTCTGCTGCTTTTTAAAGGAATTATGATACCTACTTCTGTTTTGAGAAGGAAGTGAAACCATGCATCAGCAATCACAGGATCCCCCCTGCGTACTTGCTATACTGCTGGGCAGTGGAGAAAGACGTAAACAGGATGAGGTCCCTGCCTGCAAGGAGCACATGGTCTAGTTGGGAATATTGGCAAGAAACTCAATAGGACTACAGATGATGGGGCATTTGTCAACACCTACCCAGAGCCCACCGAGCCAGGTGTTCAGCCCAGGAAAGGAAGCACCTTCTCCCCCGGCCCCTTCTGCCTTGTCCTGTCTCCTGCCTTCTTTCCTTCCTCTCTCCCTCTTCTTTTTGTCTCCTCCCCCTTTCCCCCCACCTCCCAGCTTCGCTGAGCTTCTCATGAAGTTTTGGATTCCCAGCTCCAGTTGCAGCCAGGGTACACATCCCATTGCTTGTCATTATAAGTCACTGCTTGCAAAGGGACAGAGATTGCAGGGAACCCTAACTGAAAAATGAAAAGAAGAAAAAAGCATTAAACCCTAAGCAAAATTGAATCCCAGTGCTTTAAGAACTGGTTGCCTTCAAAGGCAACCCTATGGCCACAGCATAGAACAGAACCGAAATGGGCCCTCCAGGTCCTCCCCTGCCCACTCCCCGCAGGTGGGAGGTGGGCAGAGAGCAGTGAGCCACAGCTGCACCTGCGGAAGCTGCTGAGACAGGGCAGCTCCTCTGGGCTCTACGAGGTCGTGCAGACCAAGGGATGGTGCTATGGTTCATTGGCGAGGTGCGCCTCACAGAGAAAAGGCTATAAGCTCACCACTGGGGACAGATGGCACGAGACTCTACTGCCCCTGCTCCCGCCACCTGATGTCCCAAGCAGACCTGACTGTGGACACAGCAGCTCCTGTCTCCATGGAAGCTGGGGCAGGTCTGACCAGTCTCCTTCTCGCCTCTGTCCCAGGGGTAACAGCTGCACCTCGGGCACTTAGAAACTCCAGCTGTGGAGCTAGAAAGGCCTGAAGAGATCTTCTAACCAATCCCCTTCATTTTGCAGATGAGCAAACTGAGGCCCTGAGAGGGCATGGGACTCGCCCAGGGTCACGTGGGGGAAACAGAACGGCGTCGATGGTGCTTAAAAGTGCTTAACACGGCAGCTCCCAGCTGTGTTTCTGGCCCTGCACCCAAGTACAGTCCCAGTGGGTATTTAATAATCCCCAGAACAGTGCCATTCCTCCCGCAGGCTGCTGGTCTAAAACTGGCCTTGTCTAATTGCCATGGTTTCGGGATTAATTGCTTGCCTCAGTCTATTCCAAAGGGAAAAGAAAAAGAAGGCTATTATGGCATCGAATAGACATAGTTTCTAGGCAAAAGGCTGCTGTGAATGGGTGTGGGCCTTTAAAACCCTGAGTACTCATGCTTTTCTTTGAGTACCCCTCGGTATCCCTTCTGTCTGTTTATTTCGGTACCCTTCACCTTACCCACCAGTTCCTGCAACAGACCTCTCTCGGATTCCAGTGTGGGCCAGGCACTGTAGCGTTCCCTGCTCCTCAGGCTTCCGTTTTTTAATCATCTTCTTGAAAATATTTATTTTTCTTTGCACGTAAAGATTCAGGCAGAATTCTGGGAGGCACCAGGAGACAAGGGTCTCTGCTCTAGTCGCTAAGCTTTTTTTGTGCATTTAGTCAGGCTGTTTATTTACCATGTATTAAGTGACAAGTCCTGAGCTAGGTGCACAGTAGGTCCAGTGTGGGTGCGTGTCAGTTTAAATCGACCACCTCTAAAGGATGAAAGCCACATATCGTGGAAGAATTTGGCCTGAAAAACACCCCCAAGGGGCAGGGGCTCAAACCAGAGAGTTGTGATATGGGCCACTGTTTGCTGAGCACCTGCTGATGTGCCTCAGCCTGGTACTGAGTGATTTAAATGCATGATCTCGCTTCGTTATCACAGCTGCTTTAAAGGTAGGTAGCATTTCTCCTGTTTTATGGTCCGCGTCTACAGCTGGCTCCCGGTGTGCCCACCACATCGGCTTGGAGCATGACTGGCTCGTGCAGCACCACCACCCCACCCCACCCCCCGCCCCGCCATCCCTTACTTCCTGCACCTGCTGCCTCCCATCCTTGACGACTGCCGAGCCAGGTCTCCCGGCGGCCTCACGCGCCCTCTGCCTCTCTCTGTCTGACAGACTCCTGCAACTCCAGGTGATGCCTTTATCCCGTCTTCATCTCAGACCCTTCCGGCGAGTGCAGACATGTTTAGTTCTGTACCTTTCGGCACTGCTGCTGTACCCTCAGGTAAGCTGTCCTCCACCCACTTCCTTCCTTCGGCCTCCGCCCGTCAAGGAAGGGACAGGGTTGACTTGAACCAGCTGTCAAATTATGCCAGAATACCTGTGGAGCTAGCAGCCTCTCCTTGTGACTCTTCAGGTGACATTAAGAGGCCACCATTGGGAGGCAGGGCGTATTTACAAACCCGTGGTATGCTGTAGGCTGGATTTCAGTGATGCCTTTCACCTGGAAAAGTCAAGATGCTAGGTTACTCAGTACACAGCTTCCAGGAGCTCCGTGCTCACCCAGCCATGCAAATCGGCACAAGTTCATTTCCTCCTGTCCATCTCAGCCAGAGGGAGGGAGGACGGCAAGTGGGGGTAGGAGCCCCCACAGACCTCTGGAGATCTGGTTGATAGGACGTGTCTGCTCCTTCGGTAGAGACTCAAGAATGGGGAGGCTCTCCATGCAAAGTGGGATGCTGAGGGGCAGAGCAAATTGCTAACAGTGGATTTGGGAAGGTGATGGGGCTCTTAGTGATTTGGAAGGTTCTGCTTTCTAAGCATCCTTTAAGATATATATATACTACTTTTACAACAGGGTAAATATATATATTTACAGATGAGCAAACTGAGGCCCAGAGAGGGGATATATAGAATATATTATACACACACACACACATATATTTAAATACATTTACCATGTATTAAGTGATAAGCCCTGAGCTAGGTGCACAGTAGGTCTGGCGTGGGTGTGTGTCAATTTAAATCGACCACCTCTAAAGGATGAAAGCCACATATCGTGGAAGAATTTGGCCTGAAAAACACCCCCAAGGGGCAGGGGCTCAAACCAGAGAGTTGTGATATGGGCCACTGTTTGCTGAGCACCTGCTGATGTGCCTCAGCCTGGTACTAAGTGATTTAAATGCATGATCTTGCTTCATTATCACAGCTGCTTTAAAGGTAGGTAGCATTTCTCCTGTTTTATGGAGAAAGGTGTGTGTGTGTGTGTGTGTGTGTGTGTATGTATATGTATATATATATATATATATATACATACAGTATTTCAGGTGAAGCACAAATTGGTGGGATCTCAGATATCTTAACTTGTTTTCAAGGCATCAGGCACTCCACGTAGCCAGGCCACTCTAGTTGGAACGTGGCCAGAGATGGTATTCCACTCTTTACATGCATGAGAGCCTTAAAGACTGTTTTCTTTCTTTAGCTACATATTTGAAATCTGTCACTTCATCCTACCATTTTGTTTTATATACAGCCAATAGAGCCTGAATATTTTCTTTTTTTTAAATTTTTATGTATTAATTTATTTCAGGGAGAGAGAGTGTGCACATGCAAGCAGGGGAGAGGGGGCAGAGGGAGAGGGAGAGAATCCTCAAGCAGACTACCTGCTGAGCGTGGAGTCTGATGACGTGGGTCTCAGTCTCACACCAAGATCATGACCTGAGCTGAAATCGAGAGTCTCTGACACTTAACCGACTGAGCCACCTAGGTGCCCTGAGCCTGAATATTTTTAAATACACGTCTTCTTGCATTTTTCTATAAATAATTTTCATTACATAGCATTAGAAGAAAATTCTTGACACCAAATGAACCTTGCTGTTATTCAAAGTGAAGTAAAAATTCGTACTCTATTCTGAAATGGTTAAAATTATTCCCCATGAGCCCAGAGATCATTATGAACTTTCAGAAGCAAAAGAGGTTGGTAGCCAATGGTTCTAACACTTTAGAATCTGCAAGTAACCCAGATGTTTCATTGGCTAAGCTTCCCTGTCAAATCTGTTTATCCATCCCTAAAATGGGACAGTGGTGATGACGAGTTTTCCTTACCTAAAGTGGGTATTAAAATTTCCTTGGGAATAGTGTGATAGAATACGTCCTTTCAAAGAAGAGTAACAGTTTTCCATCAGAAATGTATCACCTTCCTGTGTTGAGACTACACATGCTTTGCCCTCATTATAGCAGGTAATGGGAACTCGAGGCCCCAAACTCACCAACTTGCAGACGTGTTCATTCCACAAATACCCCCTGAGTATCCACATGAGGCAGGCCCTGTTCTAGGAGCCTGGGGTGTGTCCGTGAATATAACAGGCACAGGTCCTGCCCTCAGAGAGCTTCCTTTCTGTTGGGGAGACGATGCAACAACATAAAAATTAGTAACTTACATAATAAGTCCACGAACGGTAAGTGGTATGGCCAGAAAAAATGCAGAGCAGAGTGTAGGGGCTTTGGAGCAGGTGGAGGACACGTGTAAATGGAAGTTGTGGTTGGGAGGGGCTCATACAAAGGTGAGCTCTGAGCAGACTAGAAGGGGTGAGGGAGAAAGCCAAGAAGATGTCCGGGTGAAGAGTACTCTAGGCAAGGAGTAAATGAGAGTGACGCAGTCACACAGTTCCCGGTCCTAACGTGTGAATAAAAGCCCTCAAGGACCTGCCCATGCCATGCACATGACTGCTTCTGAGCCTGTGTGTCACATCAGGGCTTTGAAGACCTGGTTTCAGTCTTTCTCCTTGACCAGCCGTGTTGCGAACTACGGACAAGCCACTTCATGTCCAGATTCAGTTTCTTCAGCTGCTAAAAAAGAAAAAAATATATATATATATACATATATATGTATCGATAGATTACCAATAGATTACCTCCACAACTTCAATGTTTAGAATGGAAGTGTGAAATTAATTTCAATGAGCACATTTTTGCTTCTCGACGCTCCTGCTTCTACGTCAGTTAGACTGAGGAACAAAAGTAGACTTCAGTGGGTAATCAACTGTCAGCCTTTTCCTCCTTGAACCGGTCCTAAAAGTCTCTGCAGACACTGAGGCTCCATCTGCCTGTCCCCAGTTGTCCAGCTGGTGGCAGGGAGCCAGGGACACAAACCACGGTTTGCAGTACAATGGACGGGCTGCTGGGGGATTTTGCATCCAGTGGGCTGGGTTTGAATCCGGGCTCATCTATTTATGTACATTTTAAACTCCTGAGCAAATTACTTAACCTGCCAGAGCCAGAGTTTCTAAATCTTTATAAATTAATCGAAAATAATACTTCCCTTGCAATGATACCATGAGAATTAAATGAGAAAACAAAGTGAAGCACCTTGAAAATTGCTGGGACCCCATAGAGGCTTCAATCAGCAAATAACTGTTGTTGCTACCGTTATTATTATTATGACTCCTATTTGTAAAGTAGAAGAAAATGTCCTACCTATATTTTTTCCTCTAGCCTTTTTGGAATATTTAGAAAAACATCCGTGTAATAAAGGTTAGATCTTTGGCCTCTTAACTGTGCATGGCAGAGCTGGCCTGGGGGTTTAGAGAATGTACTGTGTATAAATACAGACCCTGCCACTAGCCAACTGTATAATACTCAGCTAAATCTCTTCTGAGCCTCAGGGAGCTTATCTGTAAAATGGGGATGGTAATTCCACTGTACAGAACTGGTCTGACGATTGCATGAGTTAATACACATAGTGGAACATTTAGAACAGTGCCTGGTGGTGGTTCTATAAGTAAGCAGTCAGCAGGTGTTTGTAGCTTGTCCGTTAGGAGCGCCGGCTCTGCGCCCCAGGCCCTGTGGTAGCTGCCTCAAGCCTTCCCCTCAGCCCGCTGCAGTATCTCAGACAGAGTAAAGAGATACTGATACCAACTACACAGAGGCTTGTTGCAAGGATCAGTGTCAAAAGTGTCAGTTCCGCGAGGACAAGGATTTTTTTTTTTTTTAATGCTTTGTTCTTCACCACGTCTCCAGAGACTGAAACAGTGCTTCATACCCAATAGGGCTCTTTTTGAATGAATGAATGAATGAATGAATGAATGAGATCACGTAAATAAGCATTACCATCCAAGTTCTGCATTCATATTAGGGGAGTCCCTTAGATTTCAGTGTTTTTCTCACATTTTAGTCTGCTCTTTTAATTCAGATAATGAGGTATCCCCAGGTGCAAGCATCTGGTTATGAATTGCAATTTTCAGCCGTCCTTAAAAATCTAACTGCAAGGCAGTAATGCAGGTGTTCCCCTCACTTCACGGCAAGGAGATTTATGATTGATCTGAACTCCGTGGCATAAACAGATGCTCCGTGGCACCTCCTCCCTCCGCTGCTGAACGTTAATGAGTAAATGTTACTAAGCTGCTAAGTGGCCGCTCTGGCAGCCACCGAGTGGCTTGCCCTGTCCACGGCTGCCGCAGCCTGCCACCAGGGGGTCCCCTCGGGCATGCCTGATGTCATGGGGCCACACCTGAGCTCACAGGTCTGGGGAGAGCCCAGGCTGCAGAGACCCCCCCCCGGAAAAGCGAATGAGACCTGCGAGTCCCCGAACATGATACCCAATTACCCTGTGCTGTTTTTTTTTCTTTTGAATATTGTCCTTGGGTCTGAAGCAGATGGCATGAAGCCAAGGAGACACGCTAATAGCTCTCTCCAGAAAAGTGTGCACAGCCCATCTGTTGGTTCCTTGTGGGGGGAAAAAAAAAAGACGGGGAAAGAAAAACCTGCCACCAACAGTAGAATCATTAGACATCCCAGCACTCAGCCAGTCTTGGAGTTGAATTGTACACTTGGCAAAATGCAGCGAAGGCATTGACTCCACTATGACTCATTCACATTTACAGAGACTGCCTCCAGTCGCAGGCGTTTATGGAGCAGCTGACGTGTGCTCTAAACAGCGCTAGACACAGAGGACAGGGAAAGAAAAGATAGAGGGTTTCTGCTAGCAGGTGGTTTCTTGTCTAAGGAGGGAAGACAGGACGACTGGGCAGTTCAACAACACAGTGAGACAAGTGCCATCAGTGAGATGAACACTGGGGTCTGCAGAAGCCCAGAGAAGGAGAACCAGTGGAGTCCAGAGGGCAGGGAAAGCACCCAGCAGCAGCGACGCTGAGCGGATTCTCAGAGAGTCCGTAAGGAGTAGCCACGTGAGGTAGGGGTGGCTTCCCAGGCCAAAGCACCAGCAGAGATGGAGAGAATGGGGGGGGGGGGGTTGTATTTGCAGCTGCTGCAGGCAAAGGTGCCAGTGAAAATGGGCTGAAGAGCTGGGAAGGAGCTTGATCCCTAAAGGCTCCTAAGCCAAGCTAAGGTATCTGAACCTTTTACTCCAGACAGTGAGACACTATATTTGCATTTTAGAGCAGTCCTCCGGTGGAAGCAAAATGAGAGACAGCCTGGCTGGAGGCTGAAACCTGCCATCCCTTCACCAAAATGGGCATTGAAAGATCCGTGTCTCCACCACATCAGACCCAGTGCCCCCTTTTTAGGACAGATATTTGTAATGTCTCCTTTAAATTCTTGAAATGAAATTCACAGATAATATAACTTAGCCACACGGTTTTTTAAAAATCAATATAATGCCGTCATTCGAATATAAGGAGGAAATTTTTAAAAGCTCATTTTTAATAAAAAGCTATCTATTTCAATAAGGAAAATACCCAGGCACATCCACACTAGAGGTCCTACTAAGTGGTCAGGTGTGTAGACCTATCAACAGAGTCACTGCAGGTATAGACGGACCCCGGAACGCTGTGTCGGCCCGAACCCCATGGGAAGGGTTTCTGTCAGGAACCACAGCTTCCCCAAATGGTGAGCAAATCTTGACCGTGTTCCAAACAAAACGAAATACAGACGGCCCTCAATGTACACAGTTGTTACAATCCTGGAAAACTAAGTGCACTAATACTATGCAAAGAAACTTTGAATTTCTAGGTAATTCAAAGTCCAGCCCATACTCAAATAATCGTAGACAGAACGTGGGGGACTTGTTTGTTGCGCACGTTGGTCTCACCCATTGTAGGATATCAGGTACCCAAGCTCTCCTCCTCTTAAGTGCAGGTGGTGTCTCCCTCTAACAAGTTATCCTGACAGCCAAAATACACCCCGCAAATGTCCTCATCATCCCCCACAGGGGGTGATAGCACTCCCATTGAGAACCGTCGGGCCCCATCAAAGCTAATCAGAAAAAGAGAAAAACAGTTGCGGAATTCTTAGTCTGTTGGTAGGCTCAGGTCACTGCCTTATGATGTGACAGGTGAGGTGAGAGGCAATGCAAGCAGCTCTCCGGTCTGAAATGTCCGCACCAACACCTCGTCACCCCTCTTTCTTCAGGGCCCAGGGCTAAGTGATCACATAAGGATATGGTCTGCTTGGCTTGTCGACGCTCCGTAAGAGCATGTCCAGCATCCTGCTGGATTCATCCGCTAGAAGCCCGTGTGCCCTGTCTGGAACCTCCTCTCACCTCACAAGGAAATGGCCGGATGTGGAATGTTGTCCGCATTCCTTAGCCATCAGTTGTAGGGCAGGGGATCTGAGGCTGGAGCCTGAGGGAGGCAGTGGGTGAAACCGCACACAGTTTCTCTGGGCTTCCCAGAGTCCCTGACAGCACCCAGGACACACATGATCAGTGCCACAGTGCCTGCCCACCTTCCCTTTGGAAGTTGCTAGGCTACCCTGCACCCACTCTTCTTTTCCTAGCCTCACTGCTGTATACCTGCAAACTCCTTCTGACAGCCATGAAAAGGCTGGTTTTGAGAGGTCAGGCCAACCCAGCTTCTCCCTCCTCTTCTCTGCCCGGCCTGGGCATCTGTCTCCCGGGCTCAGCTGCACACGCACATGGTTATGTGGCCCTCAGGGAAGGGCAGGGGTCACTGGAAGGACCTGGGAGTTTCTCTGGGCCCACCCACAGTTTGCTGCAACCCCAGGCGGGTGACCAGGCCAGGTGCACTTTGCAAAGGTCAGAAATTGGTCTTGGCCATCTGGGTGGGGCAGTATGATGCAGAGGGAAGAACACTAGCTCTGGGGACGGGTGACCTCAGTTCAGATCCTGATCCCCCTTCATGCTGGCTGTGTGACCCCAAGCACAGCCTTCCCCTCTCTGAGCACCGATATCCTTATCCCTGGCGTGGGGATGGTAATACCCACTCTGTAGGGATTTTGTGAGGATATAAAGCACCAGATGCTGAACCTAGAACAGTGTAGGCACTTAATAAGTGGAAAAAGTTATCTGTGTTAGTCTTGCTACTGTGAGAAGTGTTACTTGTGCTCTTCTTAAAATGATTATATCTCATCTGAAAGGAATTAGCACAGCCAACAATTAACATGGTAATGTATGTGAGTAGACCCCTGGAGTTGTGCGGTACCCAACCTTTGCCACTCTATGAGGGGCTCCTGAGTAAGTAGACAGTCACCTAAAATTGGCGTCGTAACAGTTATATGTTAATAATGTATGATAATCCCTGGAGCTACCATTTATTGCCTGGCTGCTATGGACCAAGCAAGGTATTACGTACTTTCTGGGCTCTGATTCAAATCCCACTAAGTGCTAACATTTACTGAATGCTCACTCTGTGTCAGGTGCAGTACTCTACCTCAAATAGGTCCTCTCTGTTTGTCTTTAAACCGAGCCCGTGAGGCAGACGGTATTCTGTGCCCATTTTACAGATAAGGAGATAGAGGACGAGAGAGCTTGTGGAGCTCTCCATCAATTCCAGAGGTGAGAAGGGGCAGTCCGAATGTTAACCTAAGCCTCAAAACCCCGACACTCCCGACTCTTCTACCCTTGGCACCTGGCTTCGATGCTGAAAAGGACGATCTTACAACCCGGCTTCCAACAAAGAGCCTGACTTTTAGAGAGCTTAAGCAGTCGGTCTGGTGAGAAGGGGAGGCAGGACTCAAACCCACATGGGCCCGATTTCTAGTCCTCTGCCTTTTCCACTGAGACACACCAGCACCTGAGGCTGTGTGGGGTCAGAAACCTTGAATGGTTATAGCAGCATCACCATTATCTCCCAGATTTCTGCCTGGCTTCCTCGCTCACCACATTCTAGTTTCCCCTTACGAATCACCTCCTTCGAGAGGTTTCCTCTGCCCATTGCTCTAGAAGGAATGCTCCAAGAGAGCAGGGACTTTTGTCTTACTCATCCTTGTCCCCGGTCTGTGGCACAGAGCCTGATACCGTATCTTTCTGCCAATCCCTCGAATCCATGAATTCTTCTTTCCCAGGTGCCTGACTCTTCTTTTTCACTCTTCCAGGTTATGTTGCAATGGGCGCCGTCCTCCCATCCTTCTGGGGCCAGCAGCCCCTCGTCCAACAGCAGATCGCCATGGGTGCTCAGCCACCAGTCGCTCAGGTGATGCCGGGGGCTCAGCCCATCGCCTGGGGCCAGCCGGGTCTCTTCCCTGCCACTCAGCAGCCCTGGCCAGCTGTGGCCGGGCAGTTCCCGCCAGCCGCCTTCATGCCCACACAAACTGTTATGCCTTTGCCAGCCGCCATGTTCCAAGGTCCCCTCACCCCCCTTGCAGCCGTCCCAACCACGGGTGACTCCACCAGGGCAAGTCCACAGACCACGACGCCCAGACAGAAAATGGGGAAAGAAATGTTTAAGGATTTCCAGATGGCCCAGCCTCCGCCCGTGCCCTCCCGCAAACCCGACCAACCCTCCCTCACCTGTACCTCAGAGGCCTTCTCCAGTTACTTCAACAAAGTCGGGGTGGCACAGGACACAGACGACTGTGATGACTTTGACATCTCCCAGTTGAATTTGACCCCTGTGACTTCTACCACGCCATCAACCAACTCACGTGAGTGCCCTTCTACGGAGACGTAAATCCACTGAGAGTGATGCTTTGTTTCTGGAGTCCGAGACCTCATCTCAGTTCACATTGGACAGGCCTCTTTATGTTACTACTACTGCTAATAATAGTTACCAATTACGTGTATCTACTTCATACACATTGTTTTTATTACCTTTATACTCATAACAATGCTTATTACAGGTTTCGTTAGACCTGTTGGGCCAATAACGAAAGTGAGGTTCAAGGACAAGGAGAGTAGTAGAATCAAATACAGACCTGTTATTTTTCTGCCAGTCACTCTGCTGCTTATGTTTTTGTTGATTTGCTCATCTCTCCATTCATTCAGTATCCCTCCTTTATGACACACAGATGATTGAATTGTGCGGCTTACTGAAATGGAAATGAATGGTGAATATGAATTTTAGAAGTCTGGGGAACGAGGGCAAAAAAATTAGAGTAGAAAACTAAGATGAAGAGAAAAATTAGGGGAGAAAAGGAGCAGCCACAAAGTCTCATCCAACTGGTATAGTTGAAGCCAGAGTTTGGCTCAAGGCTTTGGGTAGTCAAAGAAAAAAAATAGTAGTGAAGCAGAAAGCTCTAGACTGGGAACCCGGAGAGCAGATTTATCACTTCCTAGTTTTGTGCCTATGGGCAAGTCATTTCTGTGAGCCTCAATTTCCTCATCTGTCTTAGGCTAAGGGATATTAAAAGGATTCAGTGGTACATGTACTGAAACACTGTATACCTCACCGAGTTTAAAGTATTGTTGTCACCATTATGATTGCATATGGAGTGGTTCTGAGCAGAATCCCTGGACCAGGATTGTCTTTGGGCAAATGTGTGACATTTCTTAACCTCAGCTGTGTCATGGGTAAAAGGCCTCAGTGGCTTGGATGAGCAGTGTGCCTCCTTCTAGTTGAGGCATTCAGTGATTCTGTCCCAGCTCACTTTTCCACTGTAAGCATCCAGAAAGCCATAACCACGCCGCCAACCAGAATCCAGATACACTTGAGCACGCATATGCTCGGAAAGGTGTCCGGTAATTCAGCTCGTGCCTTGACAGTTGATAAGAAAGAGAAAAGTCTCAGGGAACAATGAGTTTGGCGTTTTCATTACTGTCGCAGATGATAGGGATCACTGCTTGGCCAATAGTGAGAACTGTCAAAAAATCTAATGTTAACACAATTAGGTAGTGTCATTTCAGCCAGGTTCGGAAGGCAGTTCTGCAAAGGAATGCCTTCTGTGTGTATAAACAACCTACTCCCACTCAGGCCATATGATCTCCATAGTGGAGGCATCTCTATTAGCCCTAAGTCACAGGGTTTCAGTGAAGAATAATGAATAAAAAACAAAATGCTGAGAGGATGAGAGCCACGCATAAATAAGCAAACATCTTTTGAAAGCAGGTGTCTCTCTTGTAATGGGCTTGTGTGCCAGCTACAAATAAAAGGGAAGTTTCAGTTCCTCAAAAGGGCAGGAAATGTGTCCTAGTCATTCGTACACTTCTCGTAGGGCTAGCATGGCATCTAGCGCATGGGAGACATTTGGGAGAAGTCGTAGAGGTTGAAATGAACAGAACAAAGCCACTCAGTCACTGTTGTGTTTCAGAGCAAGGTTTTGCAACGTGGGCTTTACTGATATTCGGGGTCAGGTAATGCTTTGTGGTGGGGCGTGCCCTGTGCTTGGAGGATGTTGAGCAGCCTCCCTGCCTCCACCCACTAGATGCCAGAAGCACACACATCCTGTCCCCCTAGTCCTGACAGTCAAAAATGACCCGAGATTTTGCCAAATGGCCCCCAGGATTTCAGTTGCCCCAAATTTAGAACCACTCTTTTAGATTATACAGGTATTCTAGAAAAACCTTCTAAAGGCTAAGACACTTGCATAAGTGAACTCCTAATTAGGCTTCCGATTGATTTCATCTGATAAGTAGGACCAGTACACCTCTCTCCAGCTGGCAGCTCAGGCTGGGTTCTCAGCCTTCCATAAGCAATAAGCCACTTCAAACCCAATTTGGAATCCAGTTACACTAACACTTATTCAACAGCTGTCGAGCATCGGGGTGTTCTCGTGTTGCTTATCTCACTTAAACCCACTAGAGCGAGTCGGTTCCATAATCATGTCATAAAACAAAACAGACTTCCTTTTCAATTAAAAAAAATTAATGTTTTATTGTAAAGAAAGTGAGTGAAACCAGTCTTTATATCCTTTTATCCACGAGCATCACCTTCAGAATGTTTTGAGTAGAGGATCAGTTGGACCAAAAGCTCACAGCTGGGCGGACAGTGTAGACAGAGCTGTGTTAAATCCCAGCACTCCTGTTCCATGGCTCTCTTGACCCCGAGAAAATCCCTTCACCTCTCAGAGGGCAGTTTCTTCATCAGGAAAGAACAATAGGTCCAACACTGCTTCGCTATATTTGCATTAGAGAACGCAGTGAGTACAAAATGCCGAGCACCGTGCCCAGCTCACTGGGCACACAGCAGATAGCATCGTTCTTCTAAATATAAATCCATCAAGGTAAAAGGTACTCAACTATAAATCCATCAAGGCAAAAGGTACTCACTAAGTTTGATAATCATTTGCTGTCTGAAAAGCAGCCAGATTTTGGAATTTCTGGGCAGTGATGGGGGGTGGGCAGTGGCATTTAAAATTTAGCTACTAAATCAAGCCACACCACCTCCTCACTTGGGGCTGAGCCAGTGACTGGCGTTTTAATGCCAGATTAGAAACTATTTAAAGAAAAATAGCTTCAAATGGCATATTTGTTCTAACCTCTGGAACAAATGGGAGGAAGAACATGTGGGAAGTCCAGGACAGAAGATGCATGTCTTGGGGCGCCTGGGTGGCTCAGTTGGTTAAGCCACTGCCTTCGGCTCAGGTCATGATCCTGGAGTCCCGGGATCGAGTCCCGCATCGGGCTACCTGCTCAGCGGGGAGCCTGCTTCGCCCTCTGACCCTCCCCCCTCTCATGCTCTATCTCATTCTCTCTCTCAAAATAAACAAATAAAATCTTTAAAAAAAAAAAAAGATGCATGTCTTTATGGAGTGAGGGATAAAGTTGTCAGCAGCAACCTCCCGTTTTCCCACATCACAGAGGCACTCGTCATTCAACACATGTTCTACACACACCTACCATGTGTAAGGATACAAAGCCTGCTTCCACTAGCCACCATCTATGGGGCCTTGAGCAATTTAGCGACCTCACTTCCCTTAGCCGTGAAACTGGGATCACCCTTACCTCAAAGAGGCTTTATGCGGGTTAGAGATACCGTCCATAAAGTTTCTGACAGTATCCAACATGCAGAAGGCTCTCAATAAATGCATATCGCTGTCCTCTGATCTATTTATTCTTACTGAAGTACATGTATGATGTTAAGAGAGAGAGAAGAAAGAAAAACTGGTTCAGTGATTCTCACCTTCAGCGTGTAGAAACACAGAGTTTCTGAGCCTGTAGGTCTGGGACAGGGGTCCAAGACGGCATCTGTGACGAGTTCCCGGATCTGCTCATGCTGCCAATCCAAGGGCCAATCTTGGAGAACCAACGCTAGCCCCATCCATGGGCACCCACTCCTACCTGTCAAGTGTGGGACAGGACAAGATAAATATGTACAGATGAGGTGTTCAGGGTAGAAAGCAGAGTGCTGGACTTAACTCGATTATAACCGGATCCCCGAGGTCTTGGAGGGGGAGGTACACGGTTGCAGCCACTTAACTCTGTTCCCTCCTTGTGCCTCATTTCTGTGTAGCTCCAACCCCAGCCCCTCGACAGAGCTCTCCATCCAAATCATCTGCGTCCCACGCCAGCGATCCCACCACAGATGACATCTTCGAAGAGGGCTTTGAAAGTCCCAGCAAAAGTGAAGAGCAAGAAGCTGTAAGTGACCATCTGTTCTTTCTGGGTTTGCTTTTCCTTAAAATTAAAACCGCTGTATCTGAAATGGACAGTGGGCAAGGAAACCCGCATAGGAAAGAATGCTGGCTCAGAGTCTCAAGTTCTAAGCGGGGCTCCTAGGGGGGCTTTCTTCGATGTTCAAAAGCAGCTGAAAAATGTCCTTTCGTGAAGTCGTTCCCGCATGTTCCCGCGTTGGTGGGTGTGGTGCCCTCCAACTGCGGTCCCTGCCTCCTTTAAAATAACTGATTATATGTATGCATGAAAATAAGCCCAGCTGTCTTTTGCTTTCCATTGTTGAAAAGACAAAAAAAAAAAAAAAAGTGTTATCTTCTTGTGTTCTAGCCTGATGGATCACAGGCCTCATCCAACAGTGATCCATTTGGGGAGCCCAGTGGGGAGCCCAGTGGTGATAACATAAGTCCGCAGGCTGGTAGCTAGATAGCACAGGTCTGGGTAGGTATCTGCTCTTTTTATCTACTTCATCCTTAAGCTCTCTGCTTTCCCCTTGATTTGTCCTTCCATTTCTGAAGTCACATCCCCAGTGTTCGCACCATCTCTCCTTGCCTGCTGTTTGCCATCTTGTGTCTCCTCATGGATGCATGACCTTTGACACACACTGCTAGGTAGAGGTAGGGGTGAGGAGTGGGGAATGGTCATATTCTTTTATTAATGATACGTTCTGTAATAGAATGAGGCATGGTCCCTGTCACTCAACGTGGATTCAGTTTCACGAAGCATCAACATTCCACGATGGACACATTCTGCCCACACTGATTCATTTCTCAGTGTGATGTGATCCAGATGCTTTCATCTTTTAAGCAAAGCACCACTGCATTTGCCTACACTCCACAGATCTAAAGAGGTCACCAGCCAAACATCCTGAGAAGCCAGGCTAAGAGGCAAAACCAAGCAGTGCTTGAAATTAGATGGCTAGAGATGTACAATCACACTAGCCCATTTTGTGTGGCCAGGAGGGCTGATGTAATGTAAGAGTGAAACTCAAAGCTCAAAGACATGTAGCATTCGCTGGAGGCTCTGCTGTTTGCACTTGTGCTACGGCATATGGCTCACCACTGAACCACTTCAGATTCCATCAGCAGCTACTTTGAAAGAAGTGTACTTACATTTACTGGAAGTGGCTTCTGGCCCTTGAATTTCAATACCTCTGATTTGATCGGAAGAAAGAGGAGCTGATGAAGCAAACCTTCTCAGGAGACAGAAGTACACCTCGTTCCCTAGACATGATTTCTGAGGTCACTCCTTGACAAATGTGTCCAATTTTCAGATACTTTCCTAGTTTTCCGTAAATGTGTAGGACTCCAAGGCTGTACCCACAGAGCTCCTCCTTTAGTCCTGAACAGCATGGTCAGAGCCATTAAAATGGTAAATAGCTTTCACCGTTCATGAATGGATTCTGAGGCTGCCTCAAAATCATTCTCAGTTCACATGGAAGTTATTTTGACATTATTGAAAACTAATACAGTGTTTGGAAAGTGTATTTTGTTAATAGATTTTATGATTAAAGAACTTAACATACTGTATATTTTGCCACATTTTCTATTCGTACAATAGCATATAATAACACATCATGCCACGCAAAGCCATGTAATACCCCTCTAAAAATTCAGTTCTGCAAAGCTATTTGGGAAGCTGGTGAATTAAAGGCAAAGTCAATGTTCCAGAAAGGAGAAGAGCTGGGGATTATGGGTGGATGCCTTGGAAAGATTCCCCAAGAGGTTTTCTACCCCTTGTGTATGTTTTATTTCATGTGCTCAACCTTGTCTTGAAAAATTCGATGAATGAACTAGAGGTGGCAAGAGCCATTCATCGGTACAACAGCTAACATCATCCTAAAATTGAAGTTCTTCTAGAAAACAAAGATGACTTACACCATTTGCAGATCAGTGTATCAAACCCTCATCTTTATGAGCCTGTTCAGCTTGAGACAAACAAGCTGAACTGTTTCTTGGGGCCTCAGCCTCTAACATGTTTGATGCTCCATCCAGAACCCCAAGCCATGGCTGAGTTGTAAATGGACGGAACATGGGACAGTAGGAAGAGCTCAGGATTTGGAACTTGAATTCAGATTCTAGCTCAGCTACTTAATAGCAGGAAATCTTGCAAGAACCATACTTTCTTTTGAGTCTTGGTTTCTTCATCTGCTAGAAGAGGCTTCTATTATCTGCTAGGTTAGCAGAGATAGTAGTTCAGTCTCTAGCATGGAGACAGACACTCAGCGCTCAGCTTAAAAATCTGGGCTCTGGAGCAAAACTTGAGTTTAGAATTGTGACCCTAATGAGATTTCATAATAACTCGCTATCTTATTTTTGAAAATAAGGATAAAAACAGTGTCCTCCTCAAAGGGATGTTGTTTGGACGAAATGAGGTTAGCACAGCATCTGACACATAGAAAGCACCCAGTAGATGGTAGCTGTCATCACCACCAGCATGACCATCGTCATACGTGCTCAATAAATGTTCCCCAGTACCTTAGATTTTATACATCTTGCCTTGATAATGAATAAGTTATACCATAAGGACCCAGGCCATTGGCTGGGAGGTTTTGCTATGTACCTCCTATCTTCAGATAATTAATTTTCAGTATGCCTCAAAACAGTTTTGGAGGGAAAAAAAGTAGGAAAAGAAAAATTTAGTATCTTAGCTCTCTGGCTTGCCCAGTCCCATAATCCTCCCCCATGAGGGTCTCACAGGCCACCTCTCCGTTCCAAAAAATGAGCAGTCTTATATTGACTTATAAGTCATAATCAATAGCTCCCCCCACCGAAAGGCCTGGACTGTAATCTTCAATGAAACAGTTTTCTCCCTTTGAACACTAAGCTTGGCAGCATCACAATTGCCTGTCAAGAATCCCATGCCAACAGGCTGATGCCAGGGAAGTCCAAGTGGGCCTTCCTGGGCCCTTCCATCACTAGCAACCCAAGCCACATTTGACCCTTCTGCCTCTGTCACATTAACTCAATCACCCAACTAGAAATCTATTGACTGCAATTTCTTCGTGCCTTTGCAGACATTTGAAGAAGGGATACCATGCAGGGAAAGCCACATCCATGGCTCTCCCTTCCCCTCTGTCTTCATACAGTTGGAAAGCAGGAGTCTCGTCCTTCTTATCACTCTTGCATTTTATCTCCAGCTGCTTTTCATTAGAAATACCCGCACAATTCTTAGTAGGTAGGGGGACATCTGTTGATAAGTGAAAGCCATCTCGCACCATAATAAGAGGGAACAAATGGACCCAGTCCTCACAAGTGGAAGCTTCAGGACCAATCTCAAACAGCATTTCTGTTTTAGTAATAAAGGGAATTACTTCGTTTTCTCCCCCTCCCCTCCCATCTGGGAAAATCACGTGTCTTTGAAAGACTGGGTCAACAGGGCCAGAAAAAAAAGAACCAAAATAATATTGTAATGGCTGGTGTGGGAATGGCAGGTAATTTATACTTCACTGATGTGTTGCTGGAGCAATTTTAAGGGCGAAATGTTAGCTTTTGAAGAGATGAAAGAAAAATGAAAACATTTATTTGGTTAAATGGCTAAGTAAACTGCCTATCAGACTTGCCCAGCTGTCAAGTCAAAGTAGCATCTATAACAATGGGGAATTGTTTGGTCTGTTTCCCTTAGTAACGATAGATATTGCCATAAATAATAAGTCGCTGTCATGTTTTTAATACCGATCGTCGTAGTGGGAACCCAAGACACATAAAATATTACCTGATGGATTTCTAGTGTTTGAAGGAAAAGAAAGCTGAACTTCAGCTTTAGGAGGAAGAATCTACAAAAACAAAAACAAAATCTTCTTAAAAAGAAAGAAAAATGCACGGAGTTGGGGACTTAGGTCTGGATTATGGTTTTAAAGCAGGTGACCTTAGGCAAGCACGTAACCCCTTGATACCCTGGTCCCTCACATGGATACATATGGATAATTAATTATAACAGCTCCCTCCCCAGGCTGTTCCAGAAATCAGAAATCATGAATATGAAAGTGTTTTGTAAGCTTTGAAAGCAGAATACATGTATTTGGAATTATTGTTACTTTTTTTTATTATTATGTTATGTTACTATTCCGGTTTTAAATAGAATGAAGCAGCAGAGCCTTAAACCAGGGAACCACACCAAAAAAAACAAAAAACAAAACAAAATAATCTGTCTGTCTCTTGGACATAGCGCTCAGAGGCAAGTCCAACCCAAGGTGTTGAGAGTCGTGTGGTCAGGAGATGGGAGGGGCCCGGCTAAGGGTCAGGTCAGCCAGGATGGAGAGGTGGGCTTGGTGCCCAAAAATATTTAAAAGATGAAGTCAGGAGAAGGTTAAGCCTGAAGGGAAATGGGAAGTGAGGATGAGGTCATAACCTAGGATGAGCCCCACATCCCTGATTTGGGAATCTAGGGGGTGCCCAGTCACTGTGCTAAAGAACACAGGACGGCATGCTTGAGCAGAGAGAGGGCGGGTTTACTTTGAACTTGAGTTGTACTTGAGATGCCCATGAGACACCCAAGTAGAGATGCCAGAAGGCTGCTAGATTTTATCTGGAGGTCAAAGGAGAAAACCAGACTGGGCACAGCAAGATTTCAATATGGTTTTAGGTCTAGAGGAGTGGGCACAAGCAGGATATGCTGATCATCTAGACCAGAGGTCAGCAAACTCTTTGTAACTATCTATGCTTTGTGGGCCAGGTCTCTGTTGCAACTACTCTACTGTTAGAGAAGGAAAGCAGCAAAAGACAGTGCATGAAGGAATGGATGTGGCTGAGTTCCAATAATACTTTATTTAAAATACTTCATTAACTGGGTGTTGGGCATTAAGGAGGGCACGTGATGTGAGAGCACCGGGCGTTATATGCAACTAATGAGTAATTGAACACTACACTGAAAACTAGTGATGTACTACATATTGGCTAAATGAATTGAAATTTAAAAAAAAAAAAAAGAATATAAAAAATTAAAACAGAGAGCCACCAAAATTAGCCACT